CATTATCTGGTTAGTTCTAGAGCTTCAGCATCCCGAAAGGAAAGTTTTTATCACCCAACCTAGCATTCGACCCTGTACAATCTGATCTCCAAAAACCTTTTGAAGTGTTCTCCTTATGAGTTCAAAATTATTCTGTTGTACGATGAAAGCTTTGGTCTTCCACTTCTCAGGAAGCAACAGCCGAAATATTGTTACTGTCAGCGTCATCAGCGATTATTTTATCTGTTCATAAACCTGACAACAAGTTACTCTTCTTGTCATACGCTTCTGAGTCTTGCAAGAATGCGAAGGTTCCGAGCAGTAATACACAATGCTTCTCCCAAAAAACAAAGCAATTCGACTGCAAAGAAGAAAAGCCCATGAAAAGCAAGTCACCATCTTGTATCAGTAGGGTGGGTAGACATTGTTATTTTAAACGACAATTTGAAAAAAGATATCATTATGGACAGCCTTATATCACTGTGCAAAATTTTGATTTCAATTAGCGGCTCTCAAACCCTAGTGCTGGTAATAGGCCTTCCCATTCATTCACCTAAACGACCCCTCACATCCATACTACGGTCGCATGGTTGAGTATTGCTCAATGTTTGCATCATGGTCATTTTCCGGTAGAGGTGCGCAAAGTTTTGTGTGGAGTATTATTTTTATTAGGTCTATCTGCAAACTTTTGATGCTCTTTCGAGCCCAGTATTCATGTTATTAGTTTATAGATGGCACGAAATTTTAAATAAAAAATGGCTTGAATCAATTTTTTGATTTTGCGTTCTTGATTTTATAGATCTACCTATTTGGGCAGATTATTGCACTATATTAGGTCTGTGAGTTGTTCCAATGTGGTATAGCAAGGCTGATCGGATGGTCACCAAAGGTGCCCATGAACAGTGTTCTTCAACGAGATAGCTCTCTGGAAAACTCTAAGTCTTGCATTTTGATAGTTGTAATTAGAGGAAGTATCGAAGGCAGATACTACATAAACATTTGTGACGTTTAGTGAATCACGAGTCAGAGCCGTTATTTTACGATGAGGTATCAGTCTTTCTGCGAAAAAACATTTTGGAGCGGCTTGAATGCTGAATACGAACATAAGACCCTAGCTGTCTATTACCGTCTTACAGAAAAATCATATTCGGGCACTTCTGATCGCCGGAGGTTCATGAAATATGTGAACTGTTATAGTTAAACCATCAGCACTTACGATTAGTAGCCGTCAACAATAGGTTTCTAATCAGCATACCCATATTATTTTGGAAAAAATTCAACAATGTTCCTCACTGCTGGTAGTATGTATGTAGCAAAGTAGATTTACTAAGCTAGAAGAATATTCATTGTGTCTTATGATCAACATCCAGAATGCAATTCGCTTAGGCTTGTTCCAGGCGTGAATGGAATGTCATTTACAGTTGGTTCAAGGTAATGTCGCTACTAATCTCAGCACTACTATCATGAACTATTCCTGCTCTCATCGAAAAATTTAGCGACGGTATAAGAATTAGTACTCAATCCGTTATGTGATGCAACTTTGAAACAATATAAAAAACAAAGGATTAGTGTCCCTAAACGTGCTTTTCTCGCAGAAACCGTCTCAAACAAAAGCTTCTAGTTTTTCGTCATGCCTACTACCAAAGACTTTGTTTGAACTTCATTGTCAATGATACCTTAGCAATAGAAAAAGACAGCAACAGACAGTTTCCTGGAGGGTCTGAAAATAGTCGCACATGCTCTTTCTAAGAGTAAAATCACCACAGCTATAAAAATGGAGTAAAATATTATTTTGTAAAGAACCACCTTCTACTAATACTTATAGCATCTCGGAAGTATAAAAATCTTGAACATCGATGTACATTGACAATCATCAGGCATTTGCAGGCTAAGAGGTTGCAATCGCCAACATTCTCAAAGCTATCAGGGTAGTAAATTCTCTGAAATATATTAGGTTAACACATAAGTAATGCAACTTTTTATATAATTTCTGTCTTTTTGAACGTAGCGCATTCATTTTCTGGCAATATAAAAATTATGTTGTAAACTGCAAATGAGGGCATTTTTTGCCGAGTTTTGCATATTATGCAAGGGTTACAGTAGGTATGCGGTATAACGGGAAATTTTTAGATCAGATTTTGCTGAAACTTGGCCTGTGAAGGTTATTCGACATGCTGATCACAAAAATGAGACCCATTTCGCGTGAAAGGGCCTATTTCGTAAGGTCAAAAAGTAAATGTTATCTTAGCAATAAATGAGTATGATATTCGTGTTCGTATTGGATTACCTTATTGTGCAAAGATTTAGCGAATTCTGAGGTTTCGCAGCTTAGTTATTGACAGATTCCTTTCAAAATTTGACGCATTTGACTTGTTCTACTTCTCAAAGGCGCCATATATTAGCTTGTATTTAACTCTTTTTTATTGATTCTATTGAGCCAACTTCTGGCTACATACATGCTGCCTATGATTCCTTCTAGATACATTTAATTCAGGTTTTGCGGCTTCATGTTTGCCAAAAAACAGTGAAACTTCGATTTTCAAGGGTTTTCGAAAAATGCAGATTTTCTCTACTATTAGGTTGTCCCGAAAGTTTTGTCGGTTTCTTCCATCGCTCACTAAAACCTACAGAACACCAATTCAAGGAAGATCTGAGTATCATTTGGTTCAGATTTTCATCCTCTTTCTTACAGCTATGTTTGTTCTCTGATCTACCCTGTTTTCGCAATGTTATCGCCATGGCTTTTTGAGCAGCTCAGCAGTAACGCCAAATCTTTTCTGAATTTTAAAAAATTTTCTCCTACTACTTTCAAAAAGCGCTAATAACTGTTATATAGAGCCATTCTTCGGCTACATTACGCTTATTTTAGATTACATGGGTCACGTTTATCAAGTCCTGAAATAATCATTTATTTAAGAAAAATTACGGCTTTTTTGATTACGTCTACCACGTAAAATTACCAAAAATTCCAAAAAGCTGATTTTTCAAAGCAAATTAAACTTGGTATTGTTGCATAATTATTGTTTATCAGCAATCAAATTTCAATTCGCAAAAATTCCGAAAGCTTTCATGTTTTTGCCGCAGTTGCGTGTTCCATGGTTTTGCCAGAAATTGAGACCTCCGAAAAAATAATTCTCTAAAGCTAAACAAAGCAATTTAGAAGAATCTAAAAATATTACCGTATAGCCCGAGAATTGTTCTATTTGTGCCAATCTTAGTCCTTTCCAAAACTTTGGAATGAAGTTTTAAAAATCAGTCTAACTTCGAGCAGATAAAAATGACGAGTGAAGATTTGTGGCAATTATCAAAATAACCATACAGGATCTTGGCTACTAAATGTAACCATAAGAATGAGAAGGAAAAGCTGCATCGAATGTATGTTGAAACTCGTTCAGGTCTTCATTGTGCGTGGTTTTATAGTGGTTTGAAAAAACCGACAAAACTTTCGGGACAACCAAATATGTTATCATAAATCAAACAGTTTAGGCAGGCTTGCAGCTTATGTCAACTCTACACGATACCAAAAAATGCGAGTGCTATATATAGTAAGAAGAAAGTTGTTGGAAAAGCTGCAAAACTTATGTGCCAACCTAATATTTAAAAGCGGCATGAACGACGTCTTTTCAACACAATTCCGAAAATGCTGAATCTTCAATATCACAACCCGTAGGCGCATGCAATAATTATTGAATGCAAGGAGGGCTTTGTAGATAATTTCTGTGAGCTTTGGCTTGCGTGAGCCGCCTGCTGCTTCATTCTCTCCTTCGTTTGTTTTCCATTCCATAGCACGCACCTGGAGTAGCTCTAGATAACCCAAACGTTCAATAAAAGTTTTCCAGAACTTCGGGCGTATTACTAAGCTCTCAGAGCCATTATCATGAAACTTCCCATACTTCTAAGTTCTTGCAAGATCCGGAAAATAATTCTTACGAGTCAATAGAGCTCATGACTTGTGCCATGTTTTCAAGATTCATGTTGCAAATCATGGAAAAGGCAGTCTGTGGAGCAGTCTCAAATTTGTTTGCTGATCTTCGGATAACAAAATAAGACCTTTTGTGATGGAACTCCTCAAACAACAAAAAATAAAACAACATTTATCAATATTTTCCAATTCTGAAACTTATACGCATTTTATTCCTTTGAAACAGTGCACCTCCGTCATAGAATATTTCCGAATATGCGATTTGTCACAGAAAATAAAATAAATTGCTGAGCAGACCCTCTGTTGTCCGACAAATTTGACACAGAGAAAAGAAATAATATGGAAAACTAGATGGCAAACCCGGCTCCGCCCGGGGCCAAACTTTGCACACATACACTTCGGGGCAGGGAGCGTGTCATAGTCCACTTTTCGTTATCGATCGATGTCGATTTCACCGATTTTTTGCAAATTTTGAGCTACGGGGCTGGGATTTTGCACAGGGGGGTAATCGTGGGGGTGATCAGCATGTTCGATTACCCCCCTGTGCAAAATCCCAGCCCCGTAGCTCAAAATTTGCAAAAAATCGGTGAAATCGATATCGATCGATAACGAAAAGTAGCCTATGACACGCTCCCTGCCCCGAAGTATATGTGTGCCAAGTTTGGTCCCGATCGGTTCAGAAATAAAAATTTCTATTCCGCACATACGTACAGACAGACATACAGACATACATACAGACAGACATTCAGCTTTATATATAAGATGACTACTGGATGGTCATTGCTAGACTGTAAGAAAACAAACTGTATCAATGAGACCTCTGCATTCGCATTCATTAGCAACAGTTTCATCCCAAGTTGCCCGTGCCAAGCGGCAAATGAAGGTGAAGAGCGTAGTGCTTTGGCATAAACATCAACATCCCTGAGTGCTCCTCACCTGGTGCTCGAATATCGTTTTTCACCTCAGCCCTACTATTTATCCTCGGATGATTTTTCATTTGAAAAGCAGGTATCAGGCTCACAACACCTCGGGTCATCCTGTCTAGTCCCCTTACACCTTTCATTGTCATTCGATACACCTGTGATGAGCTTCGTTGCAGATGCCAACTACGCAAGTGAACATAGTCGTATCGCAACCAAGAATCATTGCCGGAGATGTGCTACACGTCAGCGTAAGTCATAGTGTAATTTATCCGAAGATTTGCATTGAAAATTCCGAATAGTCTATCTCAAAAATATTGAAAGGACGTTCCCATTCATGATATGAATTCTTTTGCTGCACATACACATGTACATAGCAAGTTTTCTTTGCTAAAAAGATCTTACACAAAACGAAGTCAAAATTGTGATCCAAAAAGCTCGAAAAGCATGACTATTTACAAAGATGGTTTATTCATGACATTTAGTTATTTACATCCCTTCAGCAAGAACTTGTAAGTTCAGAAGAATAGTTGTAAACTTTATAACCAAAACTACATTTTGCTGAGCTTTATAGCATTTTTTGCCATCATAATTCAAAAATGGATCAGTTTTCTACTTTCAGAACGTCTCGTGAAATATGCCGAGGCTGTTTCGTTTCTAAACTCTCCAAGAAAATGCATGACTCTTGATCTCTGAAGTTATTAAACCAAAGATTTGATACTGAGGAAAACTATGACCCTCAAAAGTATTTGATGTAAAAATATATTAATAGCTCTAAAAATTTTGGTCATAAACGGCTCATCGTTTGTTGATCATGTTATGTAGTGTCAACATGTGTATAACATAAAAGATTTTTCTTTTTTCAACATCATTAAGGTCAGAAAAAATTAAATAGTGAAAATATTGCAAAGGAGCGTTGTGAAAGGAATTTAGAAGTGTACTTCATATTTGAAGCTTAGAGTCTCATAGTTCCAGGTCCTAGTAGATTCAGCCGACCCCAGCACTGTTATACAAAGCCTTACAGCAGAAGTCAAAGGCGTTGGTCGAACAGGATGGGTAAACATTCACACGGATAAAATCTTCGAAACTGAGAAGGTTTGCAGACTTGTTTAACCCCATCAGTCACGCTCCTGAAGATTAAATATTTTAGTTATACTTCCTAAGCCAATTCGCGCTATGTCCTCCCAACATGCCAATTAACGTCGGTAAACATCAATTTCCCCTGCAGGTTCCGTCTCATCTTCTCTTCTATGTCGTATTGCGTCGTTCATGTTTGTAGGTTTTGATACCAGAGGATGCACCTAGCAGCTATGAAAGCCAGTTTGGAACTGTACGATATCATATTAAAGTAATTCTGTCTGCCAACACGGACCAGGTAAATAATTTTGCAAATGCACCGCAAAAAAAGTACCAAAATTTTTTTTCGCGCTAATGAACCGAACTACGTCTAATACAGTCAATTTTCTGCCTGAATATTTCCGCAATGAGTACACCTTTCGACTTCTAGCATAAATGTGGGAATTTTCAGGCTTCTTGTACCGAAGTGTTTCCCATCGTAGTCCTGGCTCGTTCGTCCTTCGATCAAGTTCCTGTAAATGTTTTATCGCCAATCGATTTCAAAGACGAGGTCAGTTGACTCCAGTTTTTTGCGAGTGTTATGAAAAATGATTCGGAAGAATTCCAAGAGAATCGAAGGCTAAAACTAATTGCAGATGGTTATGGTTTTCCACGAACCTACCAATGCATCTAAGCCCATAATTGCACAAATCACAATTTGATTCAAATATTTCCGAATTTTCGTTCATCTGTATGACATGGCGGCCCGCTGGCGAGTTCCTGACCTCACCAAGTAGTTTTCAGATCAAGAATCACATCAACTGCTGATGAGTTGATGTGTTTCTTGATCTACTGTCAAGAGCTGTATTGTCAAAAACTTCCTTTTCTGTCCAGTATAACATTAACGGAGCCATAAAATGTGTCTCTTCTTTCTATTTTTTTCGTTAATAGAGTGTAAGGAAAACCGAACTTCATTTACAAAATCGCGAACCCAGAAAAATCGTTGCAATCAGAGAGCGTAACGAATTTTCTGTGTTGAAGTAATCTTAAGTCAGACTCATAAATATGATATGTTGACGTCAGAAGTCTTTCCCAGAAACGAACATATACAAGGCATACTTTCTGTTTTGCTTAAGCTTAATCTAAACCAGCGCACCAGCAGTTCGGAAAAAATTTGATACGTGATATCGTGGTCAACCTTTACGAAGCTTGTGCTAAAGCTCTTTGAATCTCGAAAAAGTAAACTAACAATAAAATTCGAAGATTGAAATACTAGGTACTAATAGATTTTTAGTCAGCGTTGGTTACCTAAGACTTAACGAATACAGCTCGAAATATTCTTATTCTCCTATTTGTTGAGAGTTCAGACCAATTTTCACAAAACTTTAACTAATTTGTCATTTACAGGTTGATTTCACTTGCTGTACATTGCCATTTGGTTGCGTATCTCTGATTGTCTCCCTCCCACGCACAGCATTTCGACTAGGAGAAGTAAGCTGAAAGGAACTTCTTATATCATGATCAAATCCTCATTCATGAATTTTCAGGGAATTGAAGCACAGGTCACGGTACACAACCGGACGCGAAAGGGCTTGAAAGAATGTGCTCTACAGCTATGCATGAAAACTCAATTTGAAGCAATGAGCAGGTTTGGTTATAGATTCTGGAGGTCTCATTTGTATCTATATTTCTTAGCCGCACAGTTATCAAAGCAGTTGAATAAGAAAAAATGGCAATCCATTTTTTGCTGCCGTTCAATGAACCCAACGATATATGTATGTCTTAGGCCAAGGGCATACCTCACGCGATTTCAATCGCGCCGCGATTTGGCAATACTCCAATTGTGCATAACTCATCGTAAGGGGTTTCTAAATGTACGAAATATAGAGCATTTTCTCAACTTACCAAAACTAAATATGCTGTGCATTTGGGGCCTGCCAGTATTGAATATGAGAGTATCTGGCAAATTGCCAGATCGCGTGGCGACTGAAATCGCGTGAGGTATGCCCTCAGCCTTACTGTTGGAGCGGCATGCAACCTGCAGCTACTTTGGTTAACACATGTCTTATCTTTCTGTCAACATTATCTTTTAACCTTAGCTTTTGAAGAAGATATGTACGTCACTAAACGCGCCTTTGAAAGCTGATTACAAATCTGCATTCCATCTCTGCGGAACCACTCTCCGAAAGAAGTTATGAGCGTTTAAATATCCACATTTGTTTAGCATTAAGTGGTTCAAAGCTAGGGAAAAGTTCTAGAACCATACTCATGCGGATTTCCCTAGGAAATGTTCTCTTCCTTGCAGCCTATATGCTTACTCGATATAAAATTGATTACCCACATTCAGGTGTCTTTGCACCGCTCTTTGCTAATTCTGAACTACTTAAAGCTTGACAAATTTGGATTTTCAAATGCTCATAACCTTTACGGAGTTGTCCCACTAAAAAGGGAACAGATTCAAAAATCAGTGTTCAAGACGCGTTCAATGACATAAAACTCATCTTCAAACACCAATTTATATATGTTAGTATCCTTCCCTTTCCTACAGTCATTTCCAACTTATTTGATATTTCACTGTGTTGCTTTTTCTCTGCTGACTGTTGATACTCTGAATGTGTTGAGGTCTCTGTGATGCATTTCCAAATTTTCGGCGGAGTAGAAAAGAGATAAACACGGTGCCACAATGGCAGTACCATTTAGCAACTAATTTACATGATTCAGCAATGAATTCAATCGAATTCCAATCTACAAACCATGTCCTGCGTTGTATCTTTCAGTTCTGCTATACCTTGTTGTTAGCACCGTAACGCGCTGTGTGCGAAGTGTGTTCTTCGTACTTCTCTTTTATTTGCGAATCTGAGAACATTGTCTTTCGGCCATATTTTACTATACAATCACTGATTTTTTATAGGAAACTGAAAACGAGTTTGGAAGATGTATTTAGTAGAATATGAGCGTTTAATGTGGGTAGACTGATATTTGTAAAGAGAAGCACAAAGCAGTCTTATTTGAAATAGGGTGCGGAAAAACTACTGTCCCTCCAACTTAACTCCTGAAATACCTCAAACATAAAGTAAATCTGTAGTTTTTTGATTCCCACGCGTTGGCCAGATCCTTGAGATTAGATAAAGATAAGTTTGATTCAAAATTGTTGCCTTCTCTCCATTTGAACGAGTGATGACTGCGCGCAAGAACATTGACGATGCGCCGACATCATACTAGCGCGGTTATGGATCGTAACTACACCACCAGCATTGATATAAGGTTCAAATTAAGCTGGTGTGTAGCGCATGACCTCTTCTCCAGTATCCTATACCCATTATAGATAAATTATAGATTGGTCTTTATTTTGGCCAACTAAGGAAGATTATATCACACGCAAATCGCAAATATTCTCGAAAAAGAAGCGAATCAGGATTACGCTTGCTTAATGAATTGGATTCAAACTATGATTCTAAATTTCAGATTCTAACAAAAAGTAACAGGAATAATGAAAAGAGCATCGGACTTTGACTACATCACGATTTTGGAGCGATAAACGATTATACCTAGTCTCTGAGCCACGTTTTCTGATCGCACTCTCTTGCTCCGCAGGCACTTTCTCGCTAGAAAAATTCGCATTTTCTTCTAGTGCAACTGCTGACTGGATACTTTCAGAATATTCCGGTATCCACTACCACATTCTTTAAGCAGTAGAGGATTTCTCAAATCTACGTTGGAAACAAAAGAATTTCCCAGAAAACTTTACATTTCCTTTACCTTTGTGACGGAGTTGCAAGAGTTGATATGAGATGCGCTGCGAAAAGGGATCCGCCGCCGGGTAAAATTGTGGAATTTTGAGCCCACAGTTTGTAAAATGCTAGAATATATTCCCATCTTGTTTATTATGTCAAATTTACAACAAAAACCTGTGAATTACGCCAATTTTTTGAACTTCATCTTGAGGGACAGTACTTTTTTCGCACCCTGTAAAACAAAAGTTTATCAAATGAGATGGGGTAAATTTCATTCTCCGTAAAACAGCATTCAAAAGCGTTCAGCGCCTAAGAATACAAGTTTCAAGAGTGCTAGAGTTCTTCAAAATAGTCTGGTGAAAAATTTCATAATATGGGAACCAAACAGTGGATTTTTACAGCGCTTCCGACATGACAGCGTCAATATTTTACATTTGATTGCTGATATTGTATAATTATGAGAATACGTCGTGATTATCGACCTCGTAATTCTTTTGCTGCTCGAAGCATCCAACAATTCATTCTTTAACAAACCGCTTAAGTATGTATATTCCTATTCCTAGGCTAGTTATACCATATGATTATCTATTTCTCCCAACAGTGGAAGTCGAAGCTCATGGAATTTGGACCTTTTTGAAACATTACTGCAGCGGAAATAATAGAGTTTTACGTTAGTAGGACATGATAATGCACTTATAATCAGTATGACCCCATCTAGATTTCATCTCAGACACAATGTTTACATAAGAATTGCACATCATGATAGCATTTCCAGATATGAGCATGTAAATGAGAAGAAACTGAATGAACATCTAATCGAGATGGCTGCGCTCGGAAAAGTGAAAGCAAGGCACAAACAGGTATTTCTGAGTTACTGACTCTACGTTGAAATTTGATAAACAAAAAGTTTCTAGGTCTTCGCGAAATGTGTGATAAGAATTCCCGAAGGTGCTCCACCCACTCAAAACTATCATCGAGGTGGTGGCGACACCGCAATCATTGCCATTCACTATGTTCTCAAATTTACAGCTCTTCCAGGTAAAACACTACAGAAAGTAAATACCTTTACGACACTAGTTTTTCAGGCATCGAATGTGAAATTCCACTTATTGTTACCTCAATAGGCTACGCAGATAAAGCAAAACATGCAGCATTCGTACTGCACTCACAGCGAAGAAGTCCTGGTCAACAACGGGTCATTCGGAATATCATGGAAGAGAAATTGATGTGCTAATATATTGCCTCTATCAAATAAAGTGTAAAACAAACTTAGTATGCAGTATTTTATTAACATATAAAAATCGAAAATCTGCCTAGTTTCTACGGATCCTGCAACAAGATTGGCGTCACTTTTTCCTATCAGTGGGTTGTTTAAAACGATTTATGAATGTTCACTAGTAATCAATTAGAATTCTTTTCGAAATTGTCTAGAAAAATATCTCAATTCATATCATTCACTTTTTGATGTACTAGGTTGCCCCAAAAGTAAACCGTATTTCTAAATAAACTGAAATGTTTTAGTTTTTCTAGCAAACTTAAAATACCATTCGATAGAGCGAAGAAAGCTCTATATAATGGCACCAAAGATCCGCCTAGTTCGTGATCCAGGCAAAGTTTATAGCAAAATTTGAAAAACTTTATCACCTGAAATTTGAATTTTTGCTAAGAAAAATCCTACGGAGCTCAAACTTGTCATTATACAGCAGACACATAGTAGCACTGAAATATACCTTTACTGGATTTTTTCCGCGCATAGAAAGCGGGAAAAAAGGTAGCCCAAAAATGGCGAACCCCGCCTCCAGCCCCTCCCACATATGTCGTTGCATACTACAGGCCTTGTAAGCATAATCTTGAAACTCCAACTCTGTATGTGCTCTTATAATCGAGAAATTCCAAGTTTTACACAAACACCCGAAAAAAGTGGCACTTTAGCATTTCCGGACCATGTTTGTTCCTCAATTTTGAGCCCCGGGAAAAAATCCATCAAACACACTTTTAAGTATTACTACTTGTCCAGCTGTATATAATGACCAAGTAAGAGCAGAAATTTTCTGGAAGAAGATCCGAATTTCAGGGTAGTTGAAAATTTTTGACTTTGGATCCAAATTTTATTTGGACCATGACTTAGACGGATTTTTGGTGGTCTTTTTGTAGAGCTTTCTTCGCTCTATGGAATGATACCCTAAGTCTGCTATGAAAACAAAAGCAGTTTGATTTGTTTAAAAATACGGTTTACTTTTGGGACAACTTGAATATAATGTATACTTACGCTGTATTTTTTTATAGACATTGAAGGCTTTGATTGAAACGAAATCAAAGCATCAACGCTGGCACCACAGGGGCACTGTATGAGTTGATTATACTAGCCTAAATTTTCAAGTACGCGCTTTTAACTGAGGAATAAAAATAGATTTTTTTTACCTGAACATTGTATTCGCTTTCCTGGCAAGCTTTCATAAAGTGGTAGCAAAGTAACACCCATCCAGCAAGCGGGTGGTGCAGGAGGAACCAAAGGGCTGCCGCCTGTATCCGCGGGAGATAATTAAGAGTGCGAGTGCTATGGAGAATATTTTGGCAAGAATCCAAGGTAACTTGGTAAGGACATCCTCTAGGTACAAATCTCCATAAGTTTGCCTGGAGATGACTCTGAAAAATTTTAAAATCAGATTTGTAATGCAAATTGAAAGGCGCATTCACTGGGCCTAAAAGTAAATGAAAATCTGGAATCGTAGTGGTAACAAATGTCAACTACCATATAGAAACTTTTTGTTTTAAATTTTGAAGTTTCAAGTTGTTGAAGCCCGGGTTTTCATCCAAAATTCATTCTTTCTTCTTCGAGATAAAGGATTACTTTGTCTTTTGATTCAATGAAAAGCAATTAAAATGTCATAAGAACACATCTGGAGGTTGTCAGGATGCAATATGCAGTTTGTCTCATACCTTCAAACCCATTCTAATTCCAAATTTTGACATTAGAGACTTCATGGGATTTGCCATTGATACTATGTCGGTAATCCTTTATGTCGCACACATTAGCAAAAGTTCATCACATGCAACTTAGTTAACATTATTTCCTTATTACCATTTCATACTTTCAACTTCTTATCCAGAAATTTCACTAAAATTAAGTTGAAATTTTCACGCAGCATTGAGCTTGAAGTTTCAACTTAGAACGGTGAATTTTGAAGGCACAGTTTTTGGTAAAAATCGTTGCGAGACAGAGTTGTTCAACTATCCGGTAAGCGTATTATTGAAAAATGTGCATTTCAATACTGATTCCAAATCTGTCCTTCGTATCCTTGAAACTTGATGGAGAGTTATAAGGGTTTGTTTTTGATGGATGTCCTCGCCAAGTTTTCCTGGATCTTTGCCAAAATCTTCTCCACAGCGCTCGCCCTCCTAATTATCTCCTACGGCTATAGGCGGCAGGCCTTTGGTTCCTCCTGCACCGCATCCATTTGAATGGAATGTTTTGGTAAGATTTTAAATGAAATGGATCTGCGCAGAAAGAGTAAGGCCTTAAATAGTAAAATTCAAATTAAAGAGAATTTTTGAAGAGCTAATTACGCTGTTCAAGGCTTTGCTTAGGGGATGCGGTGCATTCAAATAGTCTGAAACATCTTCAGTTACCATTTCGGACAGAAACGTAAGGAACACTTTTGGAAGCATAGCCAAGGTTCGAAATTCAAGGTTGCATGTTTTTTGCAGTCTGAAGTATGTTCTAGAATAGACTGGTCAATGCTCAAGATAAATAGAAACATAGATCTTTAGGAAAATGATCGATGAGACATCTCGAGCACCATTCTTAGCTTTACAGTCTCTCAGTCTGCAAGTTCAGCTCGGGTGCCTTTGAGATTCAATACAAGTACTTATTGTAAGTAACGGCAAAGGCTGTGCAAAACATGTATTCATTGTGGAAAAGCACTAGCGCAACAAAGAAAATAATTCTATAAGAATTGCCTTGATAGGCGTTTTTTCTTCGAGCTCCAAAACTGTATTCTGTGATTTTATCCGAAAATTTCCTGTTGACGCGAGAACGTCAAATACTAAAAAAATGCACAAACATATCTGTGGTTAAGGCTTCGTACATATATATAAACGCTCGTCATTCGATTCAAGTGAAAGCAAACACAAAGCAGTAATCTTCGCTTTCTCTACTCTCTATAAGAAGTTTAGCAGTAAAACTACCGCCATTCTTGCACGTTTTGCCCTCCCCAAAGTTCTTATCGGCCAAATCCAAAACTTCTTTTCCTTTTTCAGATATACAGCGTAAAGAAATCACTTTTTTGCAGTAGAATCACTGTCCATGATTTTGCCATTGCAATTTAGCACACAATACAAATTTGAACAAGCTTGAAAATTTTTATGGTGGGGTTTCAAAACCCGCTGATTCTAATGAACATTTTTGTAGATCAGTTTAGATGTATAAACAGAATCTGGTGAGCCTAAACTGCTGTTCATATGTTATTACAGACAAGGTTTACAGCGAAGTGCAAAAGCTTGTATATGAGATTAGCAATGTTAATTGACTTGATAACAAAATTACAACTTTTTTGGAATTCTTCCACAAGTTTTGGCATTCATTAGCCCAAAATCCTGTTGGATGTTCCCACCGTAATCCTTTAGTAATGAAGAAAGATGGATGATTTGTTTGTACTGAAACTGATGTTCCTACCTAATCCTATAGTAATGAAACGATGGATAATCTGTTTGTACTGAAACTAAGTTGGAGCCAACTATATAAGAGGCTGCGTAAAGGTAGTGGTTTGAAACTGATAATACAGGAGAATTATTAGCGATGCAAATTCGCTTGTTTCAAAGGCAGCGTCCAGGCAAACCTGGACATATGGGGCTCTCACGTAGATAGTAATTTTGGGGCCCTAATTAAGCCAATGTCCAAGCGGCAGCTCAGGTAGTGCTCTAACGGCTGAGATATTCGTCTCGAAATTGGACCCCGGGATCGTATTTCGTATGGATTCATGGCGCCCCTTGGTCCTCGCTCGAATTTGATGGTTTGCGCCATGAATCCATGCGAAGTACGATTCCGGGGTCCAGTTTCGAGGCGACTCAGCCGTTAGTGCACTACTTCAGCTGTCGGTTGGACATTGGCTTAGTTAGGGCCCCAAAATTACTATCCATGTGAGCGTCCCCTAGTCCAGATTTGCCTGGACGCTGCCTTTAAGGACAATGTATGAGAAGATTCGAGCTCCAAGATTTGTTAATAGGTTCTAGAAAAGGAATGAGAGCAGCTGGCTGTTCAAAATATGCTTATAATCATTATGACATAAACATTATCAGTGATCCATTGGTTGAGTGGTTGAATGCAAAGAAAAAAAGCGTTGGGAATGCCCCTTTTGTTTGTTCGACATTCCATCACAATGGCTAATATATATTCATTGATGTGAGAGAATCAATTGTAATTCAACACGAAGTGAAGAAGATTTTGCTTTCCTTTGCTCAATGTGTGTGCCTTGTAAAGAACTGTTTTGAAAATGTGAGGCAACCGATGAATCGTTGTGACTCTACAATAGAAATATTGTACTGTTCTCTTCCATTCATAACTTGATTCCATTGTTGAGAGGTTCGGTATCAACATCAGTTCCAACCTCTACCTAACCCATGTTCATTCTTATGTCATTTTCCTCTTTTCCTGTGATGACGGATTGCTCCTCGTCATCCATCCTGAAGCTCTCACAAATCATAACAGACATAGATCATTGTAGAGGACTAATACGGGACCAGTTAACCTGCCCCTCTGTTATTATCTGTTTGTTAACGACCAGTAAGACCGAAATTCGCATAATCCCACATGCAAATCAGTCCGGTTTTACTACAACCCCTCATAACGGTACGCAACATCCGTCAGCTCAGTTTTTATTGCTCGTATGTGTTTTTGGTGTACTGCAGTACAGCAGAGAAATTGTGAATTTAAAATAGACAAATGCTCTGAATTTGACTCTTCACAGCTTTAGACTTTTAAGACTAGTACAAGTCCATCCAATCCTCCACTCTGCCAAAGTTTCCTTTTACTCTTCATTGGGATAGTTATTTTTTGCAAAGTTCCACTTTTAACTTGCTAAGGAAGATTTGTCTTGTTGAGTTACAAATGAAATTAAATAGTTTTTGAATGATTAAAGTTTGTTTTTTATAACTAGGTTGCTTTCTAGAGAAATCTTTGTAGTGACTTCTTTTTGTGTAACCATAAAAGTTCGAAGGACCATTCCACCAAGCTACATAGGCGAGATTTTGGTGGGCCCCTGACAACG